GATGCGGAGAATAACCGATTCACCCACTACACATAAAAGCAGAAGTAAAAATATTATCACATATATATTAAAAAACGACTTACTACTGTAATGACAACACAATATCTAAAATTTCGTGAACGACTTACATAATCGGTGTTGGCGCGCAAAGGGACGGCGTCGTCGTCCGGTAGACTGTAAGGCAAGAGTCTAGGATGAGAAAACTGATCATACCATTGCTGGTACTACTCATGGGCCTCCCCTGGATCATCTACGGTGGTCGGAGTACAATGAGTCAAGTTTACAGAATGGAGCTGCGGGAACTGGTCCCAGTGATCCACTGCAATAGTATCCGCATGCTCAACCCTGTACAACCTAGAGTTCCAAGCACGGACTGCCTTGAGCGGACGATCTATGTGGGGAGGGACAGTCTGCACGTAGCCCAACTGACGCAATCAGCGCAGAGGCATGTACAACTCCACAATATCCCGGTACCTAAGGCATCCGGAATAAAGGGTCCTAGGCTCGATGTCATGTGGCCGACGGTCGTAGGGCAGCCAGTTCACCTGTTCACAATTGCATAAAAACATTTATTGAAGCAATTCAATTATTCCAAATAACTTTCAACTAAATGTAAATAAAATAACTTAACGCACCTCGGCGGCGGTGAGAATGTCAAGCTGCCTATGGAAATCTTCGAGGCACGCATCTGACCTCTCCGTCACTGCCACGCTCCACGAGGCTGATCGGGTGACACATCCAAGCTCGGGGATCATACGCGCTCGCTGGGGTCGGAAGGTGGGGAAGTACTCGTATATCCAGGACTGCATGAGAGTCAAGCAGCCAGACACTCCCTGTGAGTCCCCCCTGCTGGCAATACCTAACTGTCTATACAGGTATGCCAGCGCAGCCGAGCCCCAGGAGTAAGTCCCAACTTCCCACACCTTGTCCATCATCACGTGCAGGAGTTTGGGACTGACCCTATTACCACTCTTGTCCACAAACAAGGTGGTAGCGAGCAGCACCCACAACCAGCCAATAGCCACATGCTCAGCCGACCGAGCTGCGCCATTCTTTATCAATGCATCAAAAACGGCTTGATTTGTCATCGACCCCTTGTCCCAAAGACGCGTCATCAGATCACTCTGGTCCACCCCCAAGATCTTCATGCAGTTCGCCTGGCAGGTCTGGCCGTCGGGGTCCCCACTCATAACCGCTGCATCCACAGGAACCCCCAAAATGGCCCTCACATCGTGCAGCATGATACTCATTTCACCAAAAGACAGGTGAAACGAGTTGGTATCCGGCTGCCAGCGCTCCACAAATGCAGAGCTCCACAAATGCAGAAATAAGTGGAGTGTCGACGTGAGTATGCATGCTGGACGCCAAATGTGACAGCCCGGTCTGAACGATCATATCACGCGCATCCTGGACCATCGTTCCGAGCCAGCCCCTCAATTCACCATGCGCTCCCTGCCTGTTTTGGCATTTCAGCATGCCTCTGAGCTCTCCAGTCTACATACGGGAGGCTACGTGCCCTAAAAAACTAGGGATAACACTCCCGTCAATGGGGCCACCGGGCACTGGGGCTGTAACGATCCAGGGGTCATTCTTCGGCCGTTTGCTACTCGCACCTGTATTAGAATAGAACAATCAATATATATACGATATATTGTGACTGACCGTATCAATTATTTAATAAAAAAACATATAATGGTAAACAACAATAAATACGTAAATCATTTACCTGAGGAAGATCCAGCGCCCGCAAAACAACCCCCATCCTGTCGTGGAGGATTAACTAGACCGAGTCTTTTACCTACACCGGCTGCAGGTGCAGGACCCTGTGGTCGCTCTGGCTGTGCCTGTGGGTCAGGAGATACAATGTCCTGCTCAGCTGCCGCAGAGTCGGAGTCATATGTCTCGTCATCACCATCACCATCATCATCATCATCATCATTCACCGGAGTTCTGATTGCTGACTCAGAAGAATAACCCTGCGACCGAGTGATACGTATCCAAGGGAGACGTCCCGAACTGCCAGGCATGAGTGAGACGGAATGCTGATCACTCTGTATCAGATTGCTCGGACTGGCAGGTATGAGTGGCCCGGACTGCGGACCACTCTGTATCAGAGGTCCCGGACTGGTCGCCGGGAGTGGCTGGGACTGCTGACCACTCTGTATTAGAGGGGGACGTCCTGAAGTGGCAGGAATGAGTGGCCCGGACTGCTGACCACTCTGTATCGGACGAACGGGAGGTCTCAAACCGCCAGTCTGCCCAAGCTGTACCAGGAGAGCCTCACGCCGCCTCTCCTCCATCTCCCGCCGAGCGACAGCATCCACACAGCGGCTATACGTGTGTCGGGGTCCAGAACCCTCAAACTCGGCAACATGCTCATCCCGCTCCTATTAATTAGTAAACAAAGTTTTTTAATTCATTAGTATAAAGTTATAAATTGATCATAAAACTATAAATAATATTATAAATTATATTAATTGATCATAAAATTATATTTATAATTTTTTAATATATATATATATATTATAATATAATGAATTTAGTAATATATATTAGTATAAAATATATATTAATTTTATTAATTTATATTAACATAATTATTTATTAATTTCAACTATTTAGTAATTAGTATGATTATTATAACTTATAATAGTAATTACTAATATATAATATAATTATACTAATCTATATATATATAAAGAGGTTGTTGAAAAAATACATTAATAGAAAGTTTGACCAAATAAAAATAATGTTTGACTTACTATTAATGGAAAGTTCGAAAAAACACATGTAAATTTTTAGAAACAAAATCTGAATCTTATTTTTTTGGTAACAAATTTGGAGATTCTTATGGCAAAATTTGAATCTCATTTTTTTCGTATCATATTTTATTTTTTTTATCAAAATTTAAATCATATCTTTTTTGGTAACAAATTTAGAGATTCTTATGCAAAAAATGTGTCAATTATTTATGAAAACAATTCTAAATACAAATCAATTTAAAAACCGTGCAAATTGGATACAAATTTACGAAACCAATAGTTGTATAATTTCTAACCAATTCTTCCAATCTTAATGAATAATTTTTTCTTTCAAAAAAAGTGTGTAAATTGGTTAAAACCACGTGCAATTTTTATTTTAAAATAAAACTGATATTTGGACGGGATGTGCATTCAAAATTGTGCCTACATTTTTTGGTAACAAAAGCGGTTCATCTTCTAAAATAATTAATTGCACACCATATTTAGAAAGTTTTAGATATTTTAAATCATAAAATAGGGTAGCATTGAATGCCCCTAAAATTATTGGTTTTGTTGAATTCATTTTTGAAAATTTCGACAGATATTAAAGTGAATATGAAATTCAAAATCTCTTCTCATTTTATTTTTAATAAAATATGCATCCAAATATACGTGTGGTTTTGAAGTGAAAATTTGAAATTCAAAATCTCTTCTCATTTTAGTTACAAGAAAATCGGACTGCATTCAACACTTGAACCAATTTAAAAATTATTCATTAAATGAAGGAATTCATAGATAACTGTTATCTCTACTCAATCACATGATTATTTTCAATATAAAAAGAGACAGATTACAAATTAGTGAATCATATATTACCTAATTCAATATCTTAACATTAAGGAATAAATCCATAGTATTATGTAAATCCATATCTCATATTATTATATCAATAAGAATATATTATAGTTATATTATCGAATCTTTTAAAGATATTAAATCCATATTGTAAAAACAAAAATAATTCATATAATTTTATAACAATTCTATTACACTATTTAACAATATTCATTTTTCTTATATTATATACTGAACAACAATAAGTAAAAATGTTACCTTGTCTTATATCAAGGGATAAATTTATATGCTAAAATTAAATTTTTATTAGTATAGATATTTTAGTGAGATAATATATTAATTACAAGTTAGCCTTAACATGCTCATATTTAATGTGTAGGCTAAAAAAAAAAACAACGCTGGTTAAAAGATGTGGAAAAAAACTTATAATTATCCTATTGTTTTTTAGAGTTAACGTTGATTAAAATAGGTAGAAAATAGATAATAACTCTATTATTTTTTAGACTTAAACGGACAAGGGTGTGAAAATAACTCATTTAATATCTTTGTCCCGCACGGGGTACGTACTAGTATGATTAGTATAATATAATATATAATAGTAATTATACTAGTATGATTACTATGATTAATATATTTTAATTAATAATATATACATACATATATTTTTATTTTTATTATTAATATCTTTTTTTCTTAATAATATATTTTTAATATATTTTCATGTTTAATATATATAATAATATATATGAAATTATTTAAATATATTTATATTATTTTTACTTTTTCTAATTAAATAAAAATATTAAAAGCAAAAAAAACACAAAAATAATATATATGAATATATTATAATTATTTATTATTTAAATTTACATAAATATAAAACATATTAATATAATTAATATATTTGCATTTTTTAATTAAATAAAAAATAAAAAACACAACAATATATATTAAAATATTTTAATTATATATTTTTTCAATAATAAATTTCATATATTAATATATGATTTTTTTTAATATTTTATAATATTAAAAGTATATATATATATATATTTAACGTATATATGTTAATATATACAATTATATAGTAATATTTATTTTTAATTAAAAAAAGGAAAATGGCCGCGCGCGGCGGCGAATCGCGGCCAAAAACGGTGCGACCGCGCGGAGAAAGGACGGCCGCGCGAGACGCAGTAGCGATCACGGGACGGCAGCGCCTAGGCCGTCCGCGATCGCGGGACGGCAGCGATCGCAATCGGCAGCCGGCCGTCCCAGAAAAAAAAGAAATACTTTAAAATATTTTCGGGCAAAATTAAAAAAAAAAATACCTGTAGATTCTTAAGATTCTTCTCCGTTCTAGGTTGTCGTCGGGCCATTTTTCCGATTTTTTTTCGAATTTTCCGATTTTTTTTCGATTTTTTGATATGATTTCAAATTTATTTATTTTTAATTCAAAGTCTTTTCTTTCTTTGATGTTGAGCAGGGCGAGTTTGAAGAGAGATAGAGGTTTGTTTATGTGATGTTGGTGGTGGGCGGATGTTTGGAGGAGGAGGGTAAAATTTTGCTTTTATTTTTCTTTAATTAAGGGCGAAAGAAATATTTAGGGTGCGGTACCTAGTAAAAAGGTACGGTATTTAGCAATTCAGTATAAAAATCTTGGAAAAAAGGCCACGAATTGCCATATAACTTGCGGTTCTGCTTTGCCATAAACCAATTGCCATTGGAGGTTTCAACTTGAAGTTCGCGTGGTTGAAAATTGATATCCAAATGAATATAAAATGTCCACAGAGTTCCCCACAAAGCACTTCTCTCTTGAAGAGTTGAACTGAAGTAGTACATTACATCAACCGAAAGCTCACAATTATATTTGAGAGAAGACTCGTCAACGATCAGTATTTCTCTCTCTCTCTCTTGAGTCTTGACTCCCACTCTTTACTTCAGTTGCCATAAGAAAAAATCATTCAAGCATTACTGAATTTTATTTTGATCGTTAGGACGAGAAGATGGACCAAAATCAAGAACTTGCACTTGCCCATATGAGGGAATTGGTTCAAAAGCTTGGTTATTCCTCTGAGGTAAGCTTTTCAGGTTCTAATTTTATAAAACAGGTAAAGCCCCCTTTTAAAAAATTGAGCTAAAAAAGTAGTTGTTTTTGTCTTAGGGATATGGAGATCCAACCCTGATGAGATTCTTGATTGCAAGATCATTGAATACAGAAAAGGCTGCAAATATGTTTGTGCAGTGGCAAAAATGGAGGGCTTCCTTTGTGCCTCTTGGCTGCATTCCTGATTCAGAGGTTGAAGATGAATTAAGTGGAGAAAAGATATATTTGCAGGGCCTATCAACAAAAGGAACTTCAGTTGTTATAATCAAAGCTTGGAAGCACTATCCATCCAAAGATCAACCTCAATTCAAAAGTAAGTATTTTTTTTAGGTTATAATATTAATTTCTGTAATAGTTTTTTGGACTTAAGTTTATTGATTGTGATGCCTGATTGATTAGTATGTAAGAGCCACTGCAAACTAGAACTAGATATTGTTTTGTTTCTATCTCTGTTTTATTAATCATGATAGAATCTGAAGAGCACAATTGTGAAGAAGTCAAGATAGAGAAAGGTTTCAGAGAAGAGAAAAGAAAAATATTATTGAATGGATAATCACTGCATTGTGTAGGTACCTACAAAGTTAATCACGCCTAGGCTAGGCTGGAGAGGGGTCACACCTATGTTAACTAGACATTATAGGCGGCTCTCCTAGACACCTTTTTCTTTAAGTTATTTTCAAAATTTGATAAAAGAATTTCTATGTATATATGTGGACTTACATTAATTATAAAACTGAAAAATATAATTATGTTACAATTAACACAATAATTATGAATAACATTATAGTTTGGACAATCTTTATATTTTACCATCTTAATTAGTATATTTACAGGATATATCTAGTGAATTTGCGAATAAGATCAGAATATATAGTAAATAAGATCAGAATATATAGTAGATGAAAATACCTGCACAAAATTACATGTCGCAAACATGAACTGGAAAAGAGCATAATTCTTTCTATCAAATTTGCGAAGAGTCACATTAAAATATTTTTTAATTTATTTATTTGTATTATCGTCCCCCTCTCATGCAAACATTTTTTAATGATGCAGAGTTCGTCGTCCATATACTGGACAAAGCCATTGCAAGGTGTGTTCATGAACTGTATTGTAAAAGTCAAATTTCCGATTTGTTGTTTTCTTTTTGTTCAGTTCAGACACTGTGCCTGTAATATAGGAAATGTGTATAAGAGGGAAAATGAGGCTCGAACTATAGTTCTGATGGTTGGAAGGTTTCATGAAAACGAAAATGTGACCAGAATTTGAGTAACTTTTGATTTGTGAAGGTGATTACTAAAGAGGTTTGAGAATACTGCTTGCGGTTTATTTGTCTTTATTTGCTACATCTGCCTGAATCATCTTGCTTTTGTCCTTATTTTTGGATGAAATTCCTTTGAGTTTGGATAGTTTAGTTAATTATTTATAGTGTGGATATATGATATAGCTTTGCTGATGATGCGAGGTTTGCCTTTTTCTCTGGTCCCTAAACTTGCCCTTTTGTCAGTCTTATATAATACTGGAGACTTTTTATTTTGGTCAAGAACTACATCAATGGAAATATAGTTGTTACAAATTGGAATAGATGATTAAAAGGTCATAAAAGTTTCTAATTTCCCTAGAATGCTTAGAAAAGCATAACTCCTTTCTGGGAAGGGTTTCGTTATTCATTCCTCCAATTCATGTTTCTTCAGACACAATTGTTGAGCGACTTGTATATTGAATATGAAGAATGTGGCTTTTTTATTGACCTATTTGTGTGCTAATTTCAGTTCTATTCAAGGTGAAGAAATAGGAAATGAGAAGTTGACAGCAATTATTGATCTGGAAAAGCTCTCGTACAAAAATGTTGATGCTCGGGGTTTGATAACCGGTTTTCAGTTCTTGCAAGTGAGTGATGTAGTTTACGTACAAAAGCAACTGTTTCTGTTGAAAATTACTGAATTAGAATCTTCATAATTGTCCAAGGACTAAATGTGTCGCCACTGTGTGACTCAATGTGCTAGATCAAAACTAAATATCCGTGAATGCCTGCATATTTTAACAGATTTTCTGCCAATAAACAACTAAATTCTGCAATGCATTCATTTTGATAATGATACTGCATTCAATTTATTTTTGTTCTTCTATCCGATATATATATATATATATATACTGGTTAATGCAAGAAAACATTTCTTTCTTAAAGCAAAATGTAAGAATAGGTTTTAAGTGGAAAGATTTAGATTTCTGCTCATACTGCTGCCTCCACTGTAATAATTTTCTTTCATTAAGATATTAGTGTGCCGATCTAAAACTATTTAATATCTAAGGGTTTCTCTACACTGTTTATATATCCTTCCAGATACCAATATACCATTCTTTCTTTTTATCACATGTAAATTTTTCCCTGTCTGCACAGGCATATTATCCCGAATGTTTAGCCAAGTTGTACATCCTAAACATGCCTGGATTTTTCGTGCGTGTTTGGAGATTTGTTTCCCGCTTTCTTGAAAAAGCTACTCAAGAAAAGGTAAAGATGGAATTTTATTGCCTAGGGACAATGAATATCACTTGATTGGTATTTATCTTCACCCACCAATTCTCCCTTCTCTTTCCTTTATGTGCATTCAACTTTCCCAAATCTGTTTATCAGATTAATAGCTCAAAAGTTGTTCAGTCTTCGCATTTCCTCTCAAATGAGAAGTTCAACCCTCTCTCATACAAACATGGCTGGATCATCAATATTTAAGGGATAATTACAGAAACTGCCCCTGAGGTTTAGGCTTGCTATAAATGAAAAAGAAATAATACTTTTATTTTACTAGAGTATATTCTCAACATAAGGATCACTATAAGATAATTACAGAAACTTTAGAGGTTGTTTATAATGTTAAAAGTTGAGTGTTTTTTGGTCATTATACTAACTTCAAGGACAGTTTCTGGAATTCTGGTAATACCTCAAATCGGTATTCGTGATTCTAAAAGCTTACTTACTCATTCTGCAGTTAAGACTAAACTTCATGAGTTTTCATTTTTATCTGGAAAATCACAATGGCTGATTGTTTGCTTTCAAGAGTAACTGCTGCTTATTTGAAGACCCCACTTTGTTTCTTGTATTTGGAAAAAATGAACCTTCAGGTAGTTATAGTGACGAGTGAAGATGAAAAACGAGAATTTGTTAAGGATATTGGTGAAGAAGCCTTACCAGAAGAGTACGGTGGCCAAGCCAAACTTGTCCTCATTCAAGATGCCCAACTAAAACCATTGAATGGCTAAGTTTTTTTTCTTCTACCTTTATTCATATATATTTGTACAATCGTTATAGCGATGGTTCTAATCTATTATGAAACTGGTTGAATGTGTATTCTAATATGTATGGATTGGTAGGAAATATTGATTTCCTGAAAAATTTAGTCTAACATACTATTATAACATTATATTAGCTTAGCTGTTCAATTAACTTTATGGTAATTATTAATGGTCTATTTGAGTAGTATATATAGACTCTATATGTTATTCTGGCCATACAAAATTGTTTATTCACTCCATTGTTAAATCATACTGTCTTTTATTCTCCCCCATTGTAAGACAAAATATGACCGTACCATTGACGAATAAGACAATTTAGTTAAGGAATAGGTAAGAAAAGGTAATAATGCCGATTGAGTTCTTGTTCATGTTAAATACTCAATGGACTCGGGTGTTTTTAATATCCTTATGATCTGTAATTTATTTCAAAGTTGATTTTCTAAAATTAAAGTATGCCTGATTAACTTTATTATGTGGTAATAAATTCGTATAAGTGGTATCCACGGAATCATTTATTTAATTAAAAAAACAAAAAATAAATGAACAAAAATAAATAAAAAAAGGTGTGTGGAAAAAAATCAAACAGTTGAATTATGAGAATCCGTGTTTTAAGGAAACATGGATTCTCAGAATCCGTGTTTACTTAATTCCGATCGAAAAACGAATTTTCAGAATCCGTCTTTCTTTAATGACGTGATTACCCGTAATTAATTCAACTAAAAACGTGTTATGAAAATCCGTGTTAACTATCACGGATTGTGAAAATCCGTTTTAACCAAGAACACGGATTCTCGGATTTTAATCAAGAACACGGATTCTGAGAATTCGTGCTTATTTATTTATTTCTTTTGTTACAAAAACGGATTCTTAGAATCCGTTTTTATGTATTTATTTTTTTTTTAATTCTTTTTTAAGTTAGGCTCGACTCTTGGATGCTCACGAACTCGTTTACCAGCGATCGCATTTATTTCGACTGAATTTTTATTCTTATCCTTCAATATGAAGGTTTTTTATAAATTTTGATTTAACATTTTGAACACGAAATAATATCACTTTAATATCAATTCATTGGTCAAATTATAAATCTAGCATGCATACATACATGAAACACTATATACAAAAAGACAACCACAATTACCGACAAAAAAAAAAAAGTGAACCACAAAATATGTACTCAAAACCATCAAGAATAAATATCTGAAAATCTAGTACAAAAAATAAAAGAAAAAAAGAAAATGTCCACAAAATCACAGAATACAAAACAAACTAACTAGGAGTAAATGTTTTCTTAGGCTGACGTTTTCGAGACCCTCTCCAAAGAAGACGATCCTGCAGTCGGTCCAGGCGTGGATGGTTCTTCTTCTTCTTCTTCTTCTTCTTCTTCTTCTTCTTCTTCTTCACCTAATTAATTAATTTTTGTAAAAAATCAGTAATTCGACCGAACAAGTAAATAAAAACAAACAAAAATAAAATATATATTTGTAGTTAAATAAAAAATCTCACGTTCTTCGTCTTCTACATTCCCGGGGAATGCAGCGGTGGGTTCGCGGTCACGGCGTCTTCTCCCTCCACCAATGTGGGGCGCCGGTCTATGCCTCGCCCGCTGGGACTGTGTCTGCTGGGGTGGGGCGTACTCCTCTTGAGATAGAATTTGCCCCGACGACGCCCTTGTATGACCGACTGGCCCCCAACAGTCAGAGAAGCGTACAAAAGTTCGTGGGCTTGCTGGAACCCTTGCTGCGCTCGGGAAGGTAGCGTATCAAACACGTCTTCAAAGTTCGATAGCGTGTTATACGCCCCCTCCGTACCCGAATTCTGAAAATAAAATTCAAATAACTATTATGAACAGCTAAAAAAAATAAGAATAATAATAATAACTTCAATAATAATAATAATAATAATAATAATAATAAAAATAATAATAATAATAATAATAAAAAAAAAATCACAAATTAGCAGACACTTACCTGACACTTCTTCCGGTCGGCATATGGCTGAAACCCGTCGTCTTGTGAGATTTCCGTGTAGTTGTTAGGGTAATTGAATAGTCTCACAGTCCTACTGTGATACCAATCAATGTACCCCTCTGTCGGCTGTAGGAAGGGATCCACCGGTATATCTGGGAGGACATTCTGATCTCTCTCTTCGGTCTAGATCCTCCCAAGATCAGAATGAAAGGCCCGCCAATCGGTATATGCCTTCCCAGTCAGGCCCTGGCCTTTGTGGTGGGTGTCCCAGTCGGCCAGACTAGTAATGATCGGCGTCTGGGGGATGGGCTGGTGGCACCCAAACTGGCGGGGCACCCTATCAGGCTGGTGGGGTTCTGCGACGTTCCAGTAGAAAATCCACCCCTTGTACATCCAGAGATGTCGGTCTCGTGTACACTGGTCTGGGAGCCGACCCTCGTCTATGTACGTCTGATAGAGTACCCAATCGAACTGTAAAAAAATAACATTTATAGAATTATTAATGAATTTAATAAAAAAATAGAATTAAAAAAAAATAATTATTTATTATTATGATCTAAGAAACTTACATCAGTCTCTCTCAGGTCACTCAGCTGATCTCGGATGGTAGCCGTGCCCGTCCCCAGGTGCCTCATGTCCCTCGATCCCACCCACCTTCAAAATCACAGAAAAAAACTATTTGTAATTACAAAATTTGATAATTGAAATAACTTAAGTGTTGAATATAAATAAAGGTTATTATTACCTTGCACCCAAAGGACAACCAGCCTTAGAGCCGAAATGCGTTTTCTTCATGAATGAGCGAATACGAGGGATGCGTCCCCATGCCCAAACCTGCACATATGGACATATACATTCTTTAGCACATATTATTGTAATTTATAATAAATAAAATTAATTTGCAATTAACAAGTAAATAAATTTACTTGAATTAACTGCACGCAGGTCTTGATATATTTTTCCTCCCTCTCGTAGGCGTCGCAGAGCGCTATATATACCCCGGCCAGAAACGCTCCACCCCAGCTGTACCCCGGAATGGCATCGATGCTAGTCAACAGGGACAACCAGTAAAGGTTGACTCCGTTGGCCCGATGGTCGGGGAAGAAGAAGGACCCAATACACCAGAGTATCAGGGCTCTCGCCCTCCTCTCGTACTCTGATGTAGGGAGTCCATCCTCCAGAGGTCGCTTGCACTCGTCTTCCAAACTACTGAAATACAGATACTGTCCTGAAATGTCCCAAGTCTTGGGGTCGTAGGCCGGCTCCCCGAGATCCTTGAAATACGTTTATATATATATTAAAAACGACTCATGACTTAAGTATACATAAACACAATAATAAAAAACATAAAAAAAACAAAATAAGCAAAAAAAAGTTTTAGGTAAAAATATATCTGTACATATAGGAGGCACCCTAGAGCATCCATGCAATAGGCTCTCCACTCTTGGGGAGTCCGCTGTACGGTCTGTCCCCAGCACGCATCCCCGCTGACGGGGAGGCTAAATAGTATCTGAACGTCTTGGAGAGTGATCATGGCCTCCCCGAAGTCGAAGTGGAAGGTGTGCGTCTCCGGACGCCACCTCTCCAGCAGGCATGTAATGAGGGCATTGTTTATCGGGACCCGCCCCATCCGAAACAAAGGCCCGAAGCTGGCCTTCTCGATCACCTCCCAGGTCCGGGCATTCTGCTTGTTGCCCTCCAAGGCAGCCGAGAACTGGGTGTCCGCACGGCGTGGCTTAACCACGCTGTGGCGAAACCCCGGTGCGTCCTCATATACCGCCTTGGACCGGTGGTGGTTCTGAAGATATAGAAGTGACGGGTCACTGGGGCTGGGGTGTGGGGTGCAGGGTTGAGGGTTCGAGGATGACGATGCCATTTTCTGCAAAAATGACCGAGATTGTAATATATTGTTTAGTAGTATTTTGTGTGGGTATATTGTTAAGACCATACATCCTAATGATCTCCTTAATTTCAAGAGTCTGACCCATTAAGGAGAAAATTGAAAAGAAAGATCACAGAAATTTGACTAATTTGAAATTTTTTTAGTTATTTTAATCTGTTCAACCAAATGAGGCTAAGACAATAATAATTACGAATGGACTTGGGCAAATGAAACAATTTGTAGTAGAGTTGAAAAACTGTCACTTCGTTGTGGAATTTTTCAAGCTACCGATTTGGAATTATAAGAGTGATTAGGTTTTGTGTTAATTAGCTTTTTGTTTGTGTTGTTTATTTGGATTTAGCCTGATTTTGTGGCCCGTGTGTAATTCTTTTACATTTATTAGTTTTTAGATCTTAGCTGTTTGATTCAAATATTATAGATGTGTTTCTAATTTGTAATGTTTCATTTAATTTATAATATATCAATCATTCTTGTACAAAATACTATTATAATCTTGGATGAAAAGAAACGAGACACAACAAAAGAAACGAACCCTAGTTTAGAAAAATCATAACTCCCTATATACAACTGGAAACGACCTCAGACCAAAACCAATTGCAAATATATATTGAATCACTTTGATTGCAGTTCGACAATAATTCAAAGTGACGGCAATCGCTTTGATATCCAATGCAAATATATATTGAATCGAATTGAACACATAAATTCATAAGGCTCGCATATGCATTTGATAACACGATTAACACATCAAAAATCACATAACCTAAACGATACATAAAAGTTAACGTGACGGGGGTTCGATCCTTGTACCGTTCTCGGGATTACAATCGAAAAACAGAATGGAAGACGAGAGTTGACGGGCTCGGGATTACGTCGCAGGCTCGCGGCGGCGAGGAGAGCAGTGGCGGCGGCGGCGAGGAGCGGCAGAGGAGAGAGCAGCGGCGGCGAGGAGAGGGCAGCGGCGGTCGGCGGAGGAGAGAGAGATCGGGGGTGAAGAAATGAGGGTTTCGGCCGATTTTTTTTTCATATATTAAACGAAACACGGATTCTCAGAATCCGTGTTTAGTGTTGACTTCGATACACGGATTCTGAGAATCTGTGTTACATGTTGAAAATTATACACGGATTCTGAGAATCCGTGTATATAAAAAAAATAATTGTGTAGTACTTTGACTTCAAGTGGACTAATTCGAATTCGATTACACTATAATTGACCGAGATTGTACTAATTTGAGTTCAATTGGACTAATTCGAGTTCGATTACACCATAATTGACCGAGATTGTACTAATTTGAGTTTAATTGGACTAATTCGAGTTCGATTACACTGTAATTGAACGAGATTG